CCAAGATGAAACAAACAACTTGAAGCAATAATGAAATCCAAAGAGCTCAAAATCAAACATTTCTCCTCCAATAAAGACATTTAAATTACCAGTATTTGCTAAGAAAGACTAAAGAAATACCAGGATCTATACAGTAACTGAAAAATAAAGGTTGAGGCGGGGCCTATTTTATTCCATTTTTCTGTCCTGCAAGTCACAGTCCTACAACTCACGACAGCATGTGCCTTTTGTGTAGCATATGTGGGCTTGTGTTCAACTTCAGAGTCAAAATAACCCACACATTTTCTTCCTAAGGACTGCTACTTAATCACATGTCCCACATCCTACATTGCTACATGCAAGTTTTCTTACTGAAATGTAGGACTACACATTTTTTATTTCTGAACTTTCCTTTCCCCCGCTCCGCAGATCTCAATATCTCCATTTTATTCAAGTAATTTTAAATTCTAGCTTCCACTTCTCACACTTACATGCAGTCAACGAAGTTATAACTGCTGTTATCTCTTTACAAGGACTTGAGACAAAACATCCTAACCACCTGTCTTAACTATCTGCAAAACTACAGTTCAAAGTTTCTCTTCCCTTCTGAAAACTGAAAGCTCCTCCTGCTGGCCTTTTGTTGAACTAAAGACAAACCAAAATAAATACTTGCCAAACCAAGGAAATACAAAAACACAACATCATTATTGCTGGTATTTTACTATCTTTCAGTATTTGCTGTTGACCCAAGAAAAACTAAGAAAAATCTCACTCTACAGGAAGCATAGAATAAAAGGTAACTCCAATAATTTGCCTAAAGGAAGCAGATTATCCACACAATCAGAAACAGTGTGAAATCTCATTTTTTTTTTCTTTTCATGGCAAACAATTTGCCACTCTGACATAAAGCCAGCAATTATTAATTATTCTCCTACTGCAGCTGAGGAATAAAACAAGATGAAATACAGACTACAATGGTAAGAAATTAAAAGATGACTCAGTCTCAAATGTTACTGATTACTCTTCTCACATAAAATTACCTTAAGTAACTACCAGTATTAGTCAGAGGTTTCTATTACTTCCGATCAGGTGCGATTTGCATAAAGAATCAAAAGGTGGCTTTATTGCTCAAAAATTAAATTTTATGAGGCTAACTATTCAATTTTGGTGAGCTTAAAAAAAGCAAACCACAACATGCTAACAGCCAAGAGCAGACTTGCAAGCCTCTACTTGAAAAGTAGTATTTCTCCATCCCACATCTCTATAGCGGAAATTCAGAGAAGACTTCCAGATTACTTGAGTCAGACACAGAACAGTTTGAGCTACCAGATTGTACAAAGTTAGATAATCTTGTAATTATTTCGCATGACTATCAAATACAAGTGACATTAAAAGATGTGTCAATTGAAACTCATGTATGCATAGATGAACATCGAGGTTAACCCAGTAAAGCCAGCAAATATCTATCAGTAGTGATACTCTCAGAATGGGGAATTGATTTACTGCTTGAAGTGCACCCAAGAGTCTGAAATCCAAGAGTAGCACTGTTCCAATTTTCTGAGATTGCCAGATATTTCAAAGTTTGAGGAGAAATACCAGTAGAATAATACCATCACCCAACTCTTAATATTTCACATCCAGCTTATCTGCTCCTTAAAAATAAGGGCAGTGAATTCTGAAATTTTTTTTTTTCCTCCATTATTCCTCATAGCCTTGGGAAAACAGTCATTTTGGAGGGTGGGGAACAAAACAAAACCCCACAAAAAACCCAAACAGCAACAACAGCAACAAACCCAAAGCTCTATATTGTAGGAGAGAGGTCAGTCCCAACCAACATGAAAACAGATCATGGTACCAGGACAGTAAGCAAACGATTTTCAGTTCAGTGAGCAACTCCCTCATTCCAATGAGATCTGAAATAAAAGCTTAAATTATGCACATCTTCTGCGTACTCCCTAGCGTTGCAAATTTTTCAACAATCTTTGGAAGCTAATTCATTACTGACTGCGTAGACATCGCCACCAAAGTCCCCATCGCATACCATTAAGGTCAGCCTTTAAAGATGACTTGTCACTCTCTCTACATCACTCCCCTGTGTTCTGCAACCAGCTTTCACTGGAACTCCGTACCATTTGCAGATGAGTCAACACACGTATTCTTAATCCCACCCTTTTGATTTATCAGTAACTCAAACTGGTAATTGCGTTTTCCACTTCAACGGGCTAGATGAATGCAGAAATTTTGCTATCTGCTTTCTCTAATTTGGAACTGCCAGATTGTTTACTAAACCACCTATAAATAACTGCAAATTCCAGAAGAGCAAAAGTACTATTTAAATGGCCAAAATCTTTTTGAGACAAGTTAATTCAACCTTGCTGATAGTAAGTCCATACTTATTTACTGAAGACCTACCCTTCCCGCCCTACCCCTCGTTACCGAGTCTGCCCAAATCAACCCTCCTATTCCTACTCCCTCCAGGTCCTTTCCTTTCCGGTTTTGTGAGGTAGAAACTTTCTAGGGTGGCATTTCATAGAAAGTTTTCTCTTCTCAGGCACAGCAGAGTTGAGCCTAGAGCTCCCAGATCACACATCTTCCGTTTGAGTATGATCAGCAGAGCGCACTGCATGCAGGAACTGAGTTTTCACATGAAAGGAAAGATACAGCACATCCAGGGCAAGTTACATCAGTTATTCCCTCATTATCTATACCGGTCGCCCACAGTGGAAATAATGCTCCCCCTCAAAATTTCCTCCAGTATTCCTCACTTGCCACTCTAATTCATCCAACTCAGCAGTTCTGATAAACAAGCCAGTTGCCAACCATTATCACTGCTCAATTAAACAGCCATTTCAACAGGGAGGGCTTAATTACTTTGGGACTTTCAAGACCTGCAATACCTCTAGCAAGATATAAGAAGAATGAGATAAGCAGAATTGTCTAAGTGCTCTACATATCCATTCCTCAGAAGAAAGGCTAACTAACAAATTATTAAAAATACAGTAATCAAAAATAAAGATTACTTAAATATTTTTCTTGAAAATACATGTAAGCCTGTGGTACTCATTATTTTATTATATCATTCAGGCCTTGAGTTTGATAACAAACTCAGATCTAGCATTTAAACATGTACCATTTATGCTTGCATAAGCTAAAATACTCAAGTAAGGTGCAAACCACAGTTTTCCAGATATTTTTCATTTTCCTTTTGAAGCAGCAGATGCTGGAAGTCACCCCGACAGCCAGGAACATTGGAACTAATCATGAGCAAAACGTCCAAGATCTTGTGCTGTTGCAGTTAATATAACGCATATAACATGCTTTGAAATAGAAAAAGAGCCACCGGTAAGTGGACATAGAGAAGAGCTAAAAAAACCCTAATTATTCCACAAGCTATTTTTGAAAACTCTTAGAATTTATAATACTCTTAAGCTCATATTGTTATGTCTGAGGCTTGTGGAGTGCTGCATATTCCTCATTTGTCCTATAATCCTAACAGCCATGGAGTTCTGCCTCCTAACAGAAGCAGGATGTCTTGCGTTATGAAAAAAACATCTTGAACAGTAAATTTCAAGTGTTAACTCACAATTTTGCCAATTTAAAACCGCAGGAAAAAACTTTCACATTACCCTGTTGAGATAAGTATCCAGTCCTTTTGATACAAAAGGGTATCTTTAAAGACTTGTCTAGGTTTCACAGTAATCAATTATCATCAACAACTGCTCTCAGATGAGGTATTTAAAGGCAAGTAAGTTACGCTTGTCCAACATACGTTATTTCCTCAAGCTAACCTGACCTTTAATAACAAGTATGCTTCAAAAAAAAAAAAAACAAAAAACATACGTGCAAATAAAGATAGAGCCTTATTATATCCAGACCTCAAACTTAGAAGTGCTACATGCAAACACTAGCAAGTACATAGAACTGTAAAGTCAACGGAGGGAAAAAAAAAAAAAGATACCCATTTCATCAACATACTGCCCTTACAACTTACTCCTACACCTGCCTCTCGAGTCCAAGCAGATAGGAAAAAAATTACAATAACCTCACTAACACTTAAGTTCAAAGGCCCAAAGTGCAAGTCTATCGTCTTACAAGGCAACACAGCGAGGTAAGGGAGGAAGTGGATCAACACCGCCACCCGACGACGGCAGCGCAGACCTCTCCCGGCTACACACCCCACACACCGGGGAAATAAAAAATGAAAAAAAAAAAAATCGCTAATGCGAATACGATCGTCCTTGGTAGCAAAACTACGTCGTCAGTCGTGTTATCAGGTGACCAATGTCAGAAAAAATTTACGACTCTTACAACAGACGTGTGCAGGAATAATCACTGTTTTCCTGTAGCTCAGCCTAAAAACGCACCAAAAAAAAAAAGCGAAACGTGAGTCATCATTGGGCTGCTATAAAGATACTATATAACTTCCCACGTACAGGAAAGTCACCTAAACACGATATAAACAACTTTAAACTTACAAAGGGAACCCCGAGAAGCAAATTATTCATTAAATCGTGTAAAACACACACGGTGTAATACAAACCCGGTGAAAACAGCACTCTTCACGGCCTACAGAAAATAATGGCAATCCCATGAAACGTTACACCCAAGTACAGAGACCATGCGATGGGAGCGGTAGCGAGAAAAAAAGGGGGGGGGAATAACCATCTATCTTGTTTCAGAATAAGAAACATACTCCGAGTATGTAAAATAGTTGCGTGGTTTGGGTTTGTTTGGCTGGGTTTTTTTTAATATTTTTAATATTATGTGCAAAAACGTTTAACCCACGATAAAAGCAAAAACAGAAACACCCTTACTCCTTCTTTTAGAACAGAGGAATAGAAACAAGAAAGTGTTCACCCTCCTCAATTTTTCTGAAATTCCCTTTGCAGGGAGAGGATAAAAACTGGTATAAAGGTTTTTATTCCTGCTCGTGTGTGATTAAAAAGTAACCCGGACCGCTGTGCCTCTCTACCATGATGAATCATGGTCCTCCTGTAGCAAGCCTCGCCGACCAGCCTTACCTTAAAATTACTGGAGTTGACCCATCCTGTTAATTCGTCGATCACTTTGTCAAGGCGCTGCTGGTCCTGCTCCAGATCGGGGGACCTCGCCGGGTCGCTCAGGTACTCCAGCAGCTCCTGACCGACCTGCATCCTGCGGCCCACGTCCTTCTGCTGTACCTGCTCGCAGAAATAATCCATACCGGCGGGCTCCATCCTCCGGCCGCTGCGGAAAAGTTTTGGGGTGGTTTTTCTTGGTTGTTTGTTCGGCTTTTTGGGAG